TATATATATATGCCAGAGGACTAAAATTTGACATTGACGAACAGAAAGAGACAAAAAGGTCTGATGGTGAATAAATCCAGTCAGATCTAATTTTGCTATCTAGAAGTGGGAACACCATCGTCAACAGACTTATTTACAGCTGAATCAAAGCATTTTTTGTTTTTTATAAATACGGACTCTTAGATACTTGCTTTGTAATTCCACAGGGTGACTTCTGCAAGCAGACAACGTATTTAAACAAATGCAAACATACGACTTAAAAAGTGATCCCAAAGCTACAGTTGTCCTGTTTACACAACGTACATCTGTTTTGTTGGCTCAAATCACAGGAGGATTTACAGCCTTTACTCATAATGTGTCTCTAATGAAGCATATGGACAATAATATGCTGGCATTAAAGGACAGATGACAAATGAAGCAGAATGGGGCTCAGCAGCACATTTTACATCTCAAGTTTGGGAAAAAAAAGAGAAARGCACTAAATTTAACACTCTGGTGCCCACTCAGCAGGCTGTCTGAGAACAAAACATCAGCAAGGTCAAGCTGTTCAATAAAAGTCTAAATCCAAGCTGTCTAAATTACTTTCTTCCACTTGTTTTGTTCTGGTCTCTGGCTTTTTTGATTACTGTAGATGGGGGGTAAATATCTGCTTTAAAATGAACTGCTTTAGCACTTCTAGAGGAGTAAACTCATCAACGCACAGGGTCAGATTAGTCTACATCTTTTGAGACACACATTAAGCAACTCACCTTCACATAAAAGGTTCACTTTTCACTGCTGTAGAGACAAACATCTATACTCCTTGTAGTCTTTGAAATGCAGTTGTGTGTTTTGATCCATTTAATCCTTTAACTCAATAAGAATTAAAGACTTGGCATTCTAAAGGAATGCATATCGCCCAGTCCAAAAAAAAAAAACCCTTATGATGAAAGGGGTCTCATAAATGTGCCGTTTAATGCAATATTTCAAAATCTCACATTATCTGTTAGCACTCAGAGAATGTGTTGAGAATGACTCTCAGCTACAACCGAAACAAAATTTAGCTCAACAGCTGCAACACTGACTTAGTTTGTCATTAAAAACATTATTGCCTCCGCTGGTTGGCATTACTGTATATTACAACTAACTCCAGATGTTTTTTGTTCTTACCTGAACGGAAGCTGATTTTAGCCCTTTGTCACCCTCCATCTGAACAGTTTTTTTTTTATTTAAATAAATAAAAGTAGAGTTAACGAACTCTCCATTCCTCTGCAGTATCTCTGTTAAAGGGCACAGTCTATGAATAGTGTTAAAGGAAGTAAGTCCCAAACGTGACTGAGCAACTCCCCTCCGCTCCTTCCCCCTCATCAGACCAAACACTCATCTCTCAATGTGACATTTACCTCCAGGCTGAGGAAACCCCCGTCGTGCGCGGCGGTGACCCTCGGCGAGGGCTCGAACCACTCGCAGGACTTCCCCAGAAGGTTGCGCAGCRTCCTGACCGACGAGACGGTGACCGAACCGGAGCAGCGAGCCAGAATCAACACGCTGTCACTCCACCAGCTCACGTCCACCAGAGAGTAGTATTGTTCTTTATCTGGGGAAGGTTTGGTGACATAAAAAGTGTAAAAGCTTTATGCCCTTAGTAGACACACCTTTTAGGATGATAATCCCCTTTCCTCTCCTGAAAAAGCAGTTTTTAGTAAACTACTTTCGCCTGTTTGACACATTTTTTTTTTTGTAGATATGAGTTATCACTCGTCATACTTGAGCTGAGGACATCTACATGGATTAATGCTTTCATAAAGTGTCACAGCTGTCACTACTGCTGGCCTGAAACTGTCAAAATATGATTATAGCCAACTACTGAAGCCTCATCCAAAGGAATTTTTACTGAAGCAGTGAAATATTTGCTAGCCTTGCCATATGAGCTTTATCTGTTAAATAACTGTGTAATTCTAAGAATCAGACGTGTCAAAGATCATTACACTGTAGCATTGCAATGTCAGCAACAAAGTATGCTCTTATTTCCCCACCCCTTCAGGCTCAAATACCTTTTATTTTCTTCCTCCTCTCCAGTGATGTCCTCCACTCTGGGTTGATCTCCTCAAATCCTGGCTGCAGGGAGGATGGAAAGATGGAGGCAGCAAGGCAGCGAGGAGAAAAGAAAAAAAAAGAGAGAGAGAGGAAGAAGTGGGAAGAAATTAATCTGCTTCAACCCTGTTTACCAGCAGCTCTACCAGCGGCAGAGCAGAACACACGCCGCATTAATCGGTGAAACGTTCCACCAAGGTAGGTTCTCCATAAGCCACTTCATGTTAATGTGGGATGGATGGGAGAAAACACAAATGCATGAAAAAGTTTTCTCCCAACACACACCCATATATACTGTATTTATGTATACATATCTATGCAGCTTACAACGTTACAGTGTTTTAAAGTGTTCCTGAGCCCATGTGGTAATATCTGTTACAGAATGATGTCAATTATTTAATGCAGTGATGCCTGAGGGATGAAAGGTCACAGGTATGCAGAGATTTGTTCAGATTCTCTGAATCTTTTGATGATATTATGGACTGTAGATGATGAAATCCGTAAATATCTTGCAATTGTATGTTAAGAAACAACCTGTACAGGGCCCGCAGATGGCGTCATTGCATTGTTTGCTCAAGTAGGTGTAAAACTTATTTTTCCCAAAAAAAATTTCTAAGTCCGTCACAAAATGTGTCTTTAATGATTTAAAAATGAGTCGCCAAATTATTTTTGGATAAATATTTATGATTTTAGAGCTACATAAACATATGTAAGTTACTCTTTTATAAAGTAAAAACCCATTTGGCACAGTTTTTGGGTACATTTGGCTAAACTGTGCCAAAATGTCATTTCCACCTGGCACACTGCTCACTAAAAYCTTTGTGAAATTAATATACTTCAACTTATTCAGTCCTACTTTGYTAMAAYTTTTCTYAAGATGYWGATGTATAAAATCTAAGGKCATTCCTGGGTTTTCRCAAGAGTTTTCATTGTGTTTTGCAATGTTGATTTTAAAACAATTTAGGCGATGCTAAAAAAATTACAAATTTTCTTTAATTAATCACAAATAACTCAGGCACAGCAAGAGTTACAATAGTGGTTTCACATAAGAAATTATCTTTAAGATCTTACCTTTACAGAGAGTTAGCATTTAGACCTTAACTGTGGAGCTATTCTTGATTTATTTTGCTGCGTATTTTCAGGCGGAAATTACCTCCAAAACCCSTTAGGGCTTAACAGGACAGTTGTTCACAAAGTGGTGAACCTCGCCTCATCCTTGCTTGTGAATGACTGAGCCTTTCAGGGATGCTCCCTTTATTCCCAATCAAGACACTCACATGTTTCCAGTGAACCTGTTCACATGTGAAATGTTCCAAACAAGTGTTGTTTGAGAATTCCATAACTTTCCCAGTCTTTTGTTGCCCCTGTCCCAGCTTTTTTGGAACACGTTTCAGACATCAAATTCAAAATGAGTGATTATTGACAAAAAAATAAAATAAAGTTTTTCCATTTGAACATTAAATATCTTGTCTTTGTAGTGTATTCAATTGAATATAGATTGAATAGGATTTGTAAATCACCGTATTCTGTATTTATTAATGTTATACTTATGTTTTAAATGCTACTGTTTTAATGTTTTGTACAGGCGGCGTACCTGTTCTTCTTGGCTCCATGTGGCTCTCTGTTTAAGGGAGGGGACGTCCCAAAGGGACAGACGACCGGAGAAATGGATGACAGCCAGGAGCGTTCCATCAGGGCTCAGGCTCATGCGAAACACACCATCCTTAACAACACAAGATTTATTTTAAAGGATAATTAACAGCAACATGTTTGGATTTTAAGTTGCGCTGAGGTGGACAGACWGGAAGTACCTTTTCATCCCCTTGTCTTGAAAACCATCTAAAGCTGGGAATTCTGAGGAAACCCCTCTTCTGTTTCTAACACATGCAGGGGAGAAATGTTTATTGGAACACGATGTGACTGTTGTTCGAATTAGAAGAAAGCGCTCAGATCTATAAACTTCTCACCGGACAGACATCGTCCTCGTAGCTGGTGACCTGCTTGTAGTGAGGCGAGCTGGAGAGCGCCCTCCAGGCTGTGATGCCGCTGCACGAGGCCTTGGAGGCGCCGTCGTCGCCTGGTTCGCAGCCACCTATCAGCAGCAATCTATAAACACACGCGCAGAGTGGTGARCGCCTTCTTGATTGCACTTTTAACCTTGTCATTCTTTTCACCCGGGCTTGAACTAATGTATCACTTTTAATTATCTCTACTGAGAAAGCAGTAAACATCATTTATCAGGGAGAAAGCCCTGCTTGGAATCATCAGTTAGGCTCAGTTAAGACAAAAAAAGAGAGAGACCGCAACGATCAGTGCTCATTTGTCTTTATAGTGAGAATAAACAGATGCAACTAAGGTGTAAATAAAACGTGACTTTTCAGCTCAATACTGCCCCCTGGTGTGAGACATCGGAATATTTAACTTKTATACAAGATTTCTGAGGGATAGTTTGCAAAACAAAGGCCTAATACCTGTGATACCGTGGTTAAATCGCATCTAATTAAGCAGATTTTWAAAAAGCAGATTTGGTCAGAATACACTGAGTAAGCTTGATATACCTGCGTTTAAAAAAAATTATTAAACCAGCTTTTCAAAGTCTTTATTATCACTAATTTCCCAAGCTTTCCGTTTTCCTCGTTTTTCGTCTGTTCTCTCTGATGCTGACCCAGTTTTCACACGAGGATCATTAAACTTTCATCTCATCTATCAGTTGGCAAACGTTTGGCAGCAGCTGCCAAAACCCACTGCATTTCCACGTCAGGTTTTCATAGCCAAAGTAAATTTAGGCAGTTTATGCAGCCCATAGAACCTGGCGAAAATCATAGGGCCACAAAAACAAGCCAAATGAAATCAATCAAAACCTCTGAATGCACCATGGCAGAAAGGAATGAGGACTTTTCTTTTCTTTTCTTTTTTTTTTTTTTTTTTTTTTTTTTTTGGCGCTCTGGTGCAGTGAATTCCTGCAGGTATTACATTAAAGAGATGGGTTCATTTATTCCTAAGTAAGCCCCCTGGCCTCATTCGACTTTGGAACATCATATGCCTGAGCAGGATGTCTCTGTAAGAAACCTTGCATTTGCTGCTTCCTCTCACTATTTTGCCATTTTTCCCCCACTGCCTGATAGAGCTGCATTTTAATGCTTTAAACTACATAGAACCAATCTTACACAAGCTGTGTTTAGCCTATCAGAGTAACAGTGCCAGAAAAAAACCCACCAGTGACTATCAGTGGTGGGCACCAGCCTGCTAAAGCGCAAATCTGCTAATTGTGGACCTAAATATTTTGTTTGCACTTTAGCGGTCTTACTAATTTTTATAATTCATAAGCGGATTTGCGCTTTCTAAAATTCCAACGCAGTACCGCTAATAACTAATTATCTACCAGTCATCATTATCTTGAACAGCGGAAGGTATGGCTGTCAATGAATCACAACACACGTGATCTATCGAACAGCACTCTTCCCAGATAAACATACTTATTGGTAAGGTATGCATCCTTGCTGACTGTTGCTTTCGGTCATGTTTCCGATTTCCCACAATGCTTTGTGTCTGCTTACATAGCAGGAAGGCAATAGCAAAAACAGTAAACGTTTGTAATCCATACTAAAATTTTNTGCCTGATAGAGCTGCATTTTAATGCTTTAAACTACATAGAACCAATCTTACACAAGCTGTGTTTAGCCTATCAGAGTAACAGTGCCAGAAAAAACCCCACCAGTGACAATCAGTGGTGGGCACTAGCCCGCTAAAGCGCAAATCCGCTAATTGTGGACCTAAATATTTTGTTTGCGCTTTAGCTGTCTTACTAATTTTTATAATTCATAAGCGGATTTGCGCTTTCTAAAATTACAACACAGTACCGCTAATAACTAATTATCTACCAGTCATCATTATCTTGAACAGTGGAAGGTATGGCTGTCAATGAATCACAACACGTGATCTATCCAACAGCACTCTTCCCAGATAAACACACTTATTGGTAAGGTATACATCCTTGCTGACTGTTGCTTTCGGTCATGTTTCTGATTTCCCACAATGCTTTGTGTATGTATTGATTTATTTTACTTTATAATTGGAGCTCCTTTTTTATAAAAAAAAAAAGTTTAAACGCTGGAGCTCAATCCTTGACGTAACTGGTCAAAGCATTCAGCCAACGGAGTTAGAGACGCAGATATGATTTAAAGATGTTATGCTGATGAAGACTGACATCTAGTGGTCAACTGGAGCAACTACATGGAAAACTTTAAAATCTAAGCTCTTATTTTGAAGTGAAGATAGTTTCCTGTACTCCATGCTTTCATTTCCGGTGACAAATCAAATCCATCATGTAACCAGAATGCATCGCTTCAGTTTTCCAATAAACAGTTTTAAAATTACTTTATTGATGCTTCTTTAATGAAAAATCTAAAACTAACAAAAGACAAAGACAAAGAAGCAGCCGAACTAGCAATCCTCAACAACATTTTAATGTTTACACCGGGAGCCAAAGTTATGTTTCAGGAAATCACATCCCCAGCAATTAGTTGGCAGTGTTGTGCATATATTGTACATGAATTATTGCCAGCTAGTAAGTGTCAAATTGAACTTGTGCTTTAAAATTAGCTTCCACTAATTTTTCTATGGCATAAGTGGTTTTGAAGTTGCGGACCTAAATATTTTCATAAGCGCTTTAGAAATTGCGGGACTAATTTTTGGATTAGCGCTGCCCACCACTGGTGACAATGTTACAGAACACTTTTACTAAATATGTGTCTAACTAACTAACTAACTAAACGTAACTAACGCAGGGGATTTCCAAAGTTTTCCACAATGCTACAAGATTTATAAAGAAACACAAACTTTTTGAATGTTTTTTCTTAATTTTATTCACTGTTCAACGTCATATATGTTTAGAATAATAATTTTATAAACTAACAAGTTTTAAACACTGCCTTATACTGTATAGAAAAATCAGCTTTTCAGCAAACTATTGATTATAAGAACAGAACAAATGTGTTGGAAATATAGTGATCCCTGTTAAGAGGTCAATGAGGCCAAACCGTTCAGGAGGCTTACAAATTAATTTATGGTACATTTCATGGTATATTGTGCAACAAGGATAAGTTTTTCTTTAATATTTTCTTGTGCTTCATGAATTTAACACCTTTAGGTGTGAAATTGAGGCCCGCGTCTCAATTTCTTGCAAAGACATCTGCAAGCTGATAACAAGACGAGGCTCTGTAACCAAAAGTTCGAAAGTTCAGATCGTGTGGAAATTACACCTTARCGAGTATAAAGAAGCCCCGAACAAACAAGCTGTTATTTCATCTTTGTTGACGTGAATGACTGCACAGTTTGTAATCAGGAACTCCTTGCATGGAAGTAAAAGAGCTCAGATTTCATCTGCTGCTGTCTCCGCCGTTCTTCATATTTTAAGGTATCTTAAATAATTTACCAAAGAAAAAGAATGAAAC